GCTCGGCGGGCGCGGAGCTCTGGGCTTTTTCCCCAAATGATACGAAAGTTTGAGTTTGGTTTTGTGGGAACAAGTCCTCCCTTTTCAGCCCCCCCCCCCCCCCATTTCAACACATGCCCCAGAACACGAACAAAAATGATCACAGTAGTCCAAAAATGAAACTCCGTGTCATCAACAGCAGAATAAAACCTCTGCATTCATGGTACTGGTACCAGAGCAGATATACCCAACCCAGCGTAAAAGTTATCAGATTTGTTTCCATTAAGTAAAAATGCAAAATACAGGCAAGCTGTAAGAAGCAAGAAATTGGTTACTTCCAGACCCCACACACGGTGGGGTAGCACTGGGCGCTTAGGCGGTGGAGGGGATAGGGCCCATCTCACCTGCTTTCCCAAGCGCCTCACTTCCATTCTTTAAACAGTGTGTGAGTCTTATGTGCACTATATATTTTTAAAAGTTCAAAACCCACAAGTAATGGATGACTTGCCTTCTGTCTCAACTAGCCAAAATGTGCATGAGTATGTATAAAAGCACTATGAAAGGCTCCCTGTGCCCAAATGAAAGCAGAGAAGACCACCTTCCTGGAAGGCAGCTATCCACTAACTTCCATTCCCGATGCTGGCTTAACCTTCACCCTCAGACTGCTTTGACTTACCTTTTGTGCAGATTCTGCCAAGAATACATACTTCAGTATTTGTCTATGCATTGTGCTTATGGGTGTCCTAAGCCCCTCACACTTTAATGATAAAGGGGGCAGTGCTACATTATCTACAACTAGCTGAGCCACATACCAGGGAGTTAACAGTTCTGCTCTTAAAAGTCACACTCAAAAGTTGCAACCTTCTGTCTAAGGCAGTAACTAACATACATCAAATGCATTGATTGCTACCTATGGGAATGTAAGTATGACTTACAGGTTATAATAGCTAATATTCAGAGTAGCTTTATGTAACTAAAATTTATAGCAGTGTTTCTTTTTTTTTGTTGTATTTAGACAGGGTCTCCCTGCAGCCACAGCTGGGAACTAGTTATGTAGATTAGGTTGGCCTCAACCTCACAGAGAGCCACCAGGTTCTGCCCCCGCCCCAAGTACTGGGATTAAAGGTGTATACCACCATGCCTGGCAGAAAGCTGTTTCTTTCCTTTTTGAGGTAGGGTCTCACCATGAACCCAGGCTGACCTCAAACAAGATCTCCTGTGTAGGAAACCAGGATGCCAGGCCCTAGGGTGAGGTGAGCCTAAAACTTATAGGTCCAGGCTGCATTCTCTGCTAAAGGGAGGGGCACTGAAAACAGTGGCTCTGAAAATCCCCGTCCTGCAGAACACTGCTGGGCTGGCAGGAGGAAGCGGCCTGGTCATAAAAGTGCAGGCTCCCTGCTCTGTGGGAAAGCGTCTTGGTCAACAACCCTTAGCTCATCTCCTTGTCCTGAACAAATAATTCAGCTATCCCTGGCTAAGAGATTAGGCCAGGTTAAAGGTTTGCTCCTGAGCTAAAACCTAAAAGTTTACCATGCTCTTAGCTCTAAGAAAAAAAAAAAACATTGTGGCTGATAAATTACTGGATGGGCATTGATAACCTTGAGTAAAAGTTTAAGAATCCTTCTGGCACCAACAGACTAAATGTCCTGTTTCTTTGTACCCTAAAATCTTTGTATGTGACTGCCATATCCCACGTGACTGCTAATTCCTTGGGCTAAAAACCATCTGAATTTTAAAATAAATTGTCCTGTTGGGAAGACACAGGTCCCAGAGTTTATGACTCTGTTGCCAATCAGACCCTCTGCTCCAAAGCCAGTAGGTCCCCCCTAAGCAAAGCAAACCTGAGTCCCGACACTCCTGCCTCCCCTCTTGCCTCCCCCTCCCAAGTGCCAGAATCAAGTACGTATCACCAGGCCTGGCTCTACAGTACTGATTCTTGATATAAAGTGCTTTCTATAAATTAGTACAGTCCTCAAAAACCTATGAGCCAAATACTATTTCCCTCATTCTGTCCTCTGCCGAAGGAAGTAAAACCAGGTTTCTGGCATCGAGCAAGAACTCCGGATCTGAGTCAGTGTGGCTCCTGCATCTTAATGTGTCTAGCCATTTACCATGTCCTTCGCACATAACTGGACATGAAGCCATCTCCAGATGTTTCTCAATACATTAACTCTGAACATGAATCTCATATGCAACAGATATGGTTTTTTTAATGCTTTGTCACCTCTCATGAAAATTCTGCAAAGATTAAATAGTAATTTTTATATAGTGATTAAAAAATTTAATCCCTGCACCTTAATGATAAATGGGAGTGCTACTAAGGAATATCTCACTACAGAGATTTTTATATGTATTATACAATGTATTTGTAGTCCTTGAAGATGGTCCCAAAACTATGATATCAGATCTGAATCAACCGGAAGATAAATTCCATCTACCTCCACTGACGGGAACTGGAGAAAGATCAAGTAGGCTAAGTGGTAAAGAGCCAAGCCATGGAAATGGGGGGATCGATCTGTTGGCTCGACTTTTTTTATATACTCACTATATATATATAATGTATATACTCATTGTACATTTGTAGTGTATAATATATACACTCACTGTACGTGTGTAGTGTATAATGCATACACTCACTGTATGTGTGTAGTATATAATGTATATACTCACTGTACAAGTGTAGTGTAATATATATACTCACTGTACATGTGTAGTGTATAATGTATATACTCACTGTACATGTGTAGTATATAATGTATATACTCACTGTGTGTAGTGTATAATGAATGTATATACTCACTGTATGAGTATAATGTATACTCACTGTACATGTGTAGTATATAATGTATATACTCACTGTGTGTAGTGTATAATGAATGTATATACTCACTGTATGAGTATAGTGTATAATGTATACTCACTGTGTGTAGTGTATAATGAATGTATATACTCACTGTATGAGTATAGTGTATAATGTATACTCACTGTGTGTAGTGTATAATGAATGTATATACTCACTGTACGAGTATAGTGTATAATGTATACTCACTGTACATGTATAATGTATAAGCTGAACTTTCACTCTGCCCTCACCACATGCATGGTCTTGGAACTCTGCTTAATTCCTACAAATTGTATTTATTCTAGTTTCATTATTTGAAATCTTTTGAAAATCTTATTAAATTGTTCATAATATCAAAAAGAAAAGCCTTAAAAGAAAAAAACATGGCAGTATTAAAACTTCCCTAAGTAAAGGAATGCAGTCTGAAATGTCTACCACATGAATTGGGAAGAGTAGCCAACCATGCCTACTGTTCCTACTCTCAGCAAGCCTAGCAGACACAGTAGTAGGATCTATGAGATGGGATTCTTGCAGCTTTCCCATTTTATAAACTTAGTAACCCAGAAGAAAAAAAGGGGGATTGGAGAGATGGCTCAGAGGTTAAGAGCACTAGCTGCTCTTGCAGAGGACCCGAGTTTGGTTTGCAGCACCCACATGGCAGCTAACAACCACCTGTAACTCCAGTTCCAGGTGATCCGACGCCTTCTTCTGTCTTCTGCAGGCACTGCATGACACCAGTGCACTTACATACATGCAGGCAATACATTCATACATACAAAAAATTAAAAATAGTAAATTTTTTTTTAAAAAAGCGAAGAAAAAAAGGGCCATAAACATTTCTCCAGGGTGGGACTGAACACGACTCTCCTGTCTCCACTGTAGTATTTAAAGGTGCTCTTCAGCTGGATGTGGTGGTAAATAACTGTAACCACCAGCACTCTGAAGGCCAAGGCAAGAGGGTTGCCAAGTTCAAGGTCAGGCTGGGCTACACAGAGCAAGGCTCACTCGGAGGAAAACAGTAAAATGAAAGCTCTTTATTATCTCAGATAAGCTCCTGTTTATGAACAGGACAGCAGCTATTCCTAGCGTGTTAAAGCATATTTAGGATCCTTTCCAGGACTAGCTTTGAAAATAACTTCATGCTTGTTCTTTTTGATTCAAAGTATTAACCTGTAGAAGGATCAAGAATATAGAAAGGAAAGTTCTTTATTTGGGATAGACAGACATGCAATCCCTATTTCACACTTGAAATTCTGGCCTATGTGCATGCAACATTTCTTTTTTAAAATTCCACATATTTAACAGAATACACCCCCTGCCCCCCCAAGTTAAGTACCCCTGGTTTAAGTCCTGCTTTAAAGTTCAATAGTAAACTTTGTCTAGGTTCACTCCTCAGTACCATTCAAAAAAAGGTTTAAGCCATTCAGTTCTGAACATAAACACCCAAGAGAAGAAAAATTTGAAATTATATTTATTAATGCTTTATTATACATATTGTATACTCTTAGAATTGGGGGGAAGGGGACCCCCACTCAAGTGAGGTAACAAACTTGCTGTCTCTTACAAAATCTAATTAGAACTGACAATGTTATGGTTAGTTCTTAATTCCTGAGAATTTGAACATCATTAAGTCTTCTGTGAACTTAACAACAAAATGCTCATGTTAATGTTTAAATGACAGTATGTCTGAAAAAATATTAATGTTAGCAAGGAAAACCATAATCCAAATGTATATATTAACTCAGGTGTGAATACACTGAAGCCCTGTTACTCTATAGTTTAATACCATTTAAATACTTACCTTTTCAGAGATTTTATTTCAAATATATGAACTTATATCCAGACTGGAGTGACATTTTGAACTAAAGATAAAACAATAATCTGTCACTTTCTTCTCAATTATACATGTCCAGGGAGTCAGCATATGATCTCTAATATTGATAAGATAATTAATTTACATGTGTGGGAATACCAAACAAGGAAAAACAAGAAAATACTAGCGCTATGAAATAGTGACTAATTTGATATAACCAAATCCAGTATCATTAGTATAAACATTTATAATAATGAAAATATAAATTATTAATTATGCAGCATGCTTTAGGGCCACCTCTAAAGTTAGTATTAATTACAAATATTAAATACCTTTAATCTATCCTTTGTCCATAATCCTGTAAGTCATACTTAACATAATAAAAACCATTTCCTATACATTGTTTCTTCTTACTGAACAGTGAAAGTATTTATTTTGGGCTGGGAAAGTTACCCTGACCCTAACCAATGAGTACAGGCGGGGCATTGTGTATTCACTCCAAAAGCTGGAATCAAAGAACAATATCAGAATTCTAACAGTGTTAGAATTACTTCCAGGATTTGTCCAAAGAAACAGCAGGAAACGAAATAGAAAAACAAGCCATTTCCAAAAACTGATGTTTCTGTTACATTTAAAGTTTTAAATTTTCCTTTTCATCATAAAGTCATTATATGTTTAAAAGGCCATGATTGACCCACTAAACCATTAACTAGCACACCTTTACAAAAATAAAGCTAGTAGCTTGTTGGGAACTAAATTTATTCAAATCTTTCATTCTTTTAAAATCAGTAAGTGACTTACTATTTTATTCTCACAGTGGTAAATTACTGAAAGCCTGCCATAGTGCGGTTATTATTTAATCTTATGTCTTAGATTATATTTGATATAAAGAAAAAGTCTGTCCAAACCATCATCAAGATTTCAATTTACTATAATGAAGAAACCTGAGTTTGGATGTAGAAATAATTCATTTTTTCCTTCCTATCATACAGACGCAGTGAGGCTTCAAGCAGGATTCTATGGCTTAATCTGAGTTTTCTTTGAATATTAAGTAAATCTTAAATTTAAAGCAATTGTTGAAGGGTAAATGTTCCCAAAGCAATGTAAACGGTTATAAAATGTCTCATCAAAGACATCAGCAGCTCTTGTGAATTACATGAAATTTAACAATGCACAAAGGATCACCAGTTACACTGTGCACAAAGGGTTACAGACTCGTGCCTCACCTCTAGTATCAAAGCCATCTTCATATATTCTTTGATATGTATGCTTCATGAATTTCAGGCTCAAGTCCTTTTTTAAAAATGTATTTACTGGCTGTATACAGATATGCACTGACTTTCCAATGACTTTGGATAAATATGAATCAAAGATCTATACAAATCACAAACACAGATTACAAGAGATCTGAGGCAACAGTTTAGGAATCTGGGTTCGCCCTTCTCTAACTTCATGGCGAAAGACTGTTCCTAGGAACATCTTGTAGCCTAAGGTCCAGACAAAAATCCAATTTTAAAATCTTACTCTCAGCCCTTGAAAAGTAGAGCCTTTAGAAACAGAATGGTCTTAACCCTAGAGCACTGCCAAGTAGAATTTTCCAAAGACATGACCCAGGAAACAATTCATGAAGTAGCTTGTACCATCCATGTCACTGCAAAAATGTCTTCACTATTCGGAAGTTTTCATACTGTCATTTCACAACAGGATCAGCAGACACAGTGTTCTCAGGCAGGTCTCCATTGCTTGTTTTAGTTTCTTCTGGAGCGTAAGTGAAAATAACAATGGAAAAAGAAATTTAATGAATTAAGAAACAAATATAATTTGAAAAAATCTGTAACCATACTAGTAAATATATATATACACTATACACTAAATATATATATACTACTAAATTCCACTTTATATGATTGCATCCATCAAGTATTTTTTTAATGTCACAAATTATACCAAGTTTTCTTACTTAAAAATTTTTTTCTTTTAATTCAGGCTTTGACTGAAAGTATAGAGTTGAGAGACATTAACTACATCTTCTTCAATTACTTTTAAGACAGGATCTCTAACTGAACCTGGAGCTTGCTGCTTTAGCTAGACTGGCTGGCTAGCAACCCCCTGGGATCCACCTATCTCTGCTCACTCAGGGCTGGGCTTACGAACATGTGCCACCATGCTTGGCTTTTACATGTATGATGGGGATCTCAAGCCAGGTTCTCCAAGCACTTTACCTACCAAACCATCTCCCTGGCCCTTTATTTTTGGAGACTCTGCAACCCAGACTGACCCAGAGCTTACTACATAGCTTAGACTAGCCTTGAACTCAGCGATGTTTCTGCCTCAGCAGGTACAGACCACCACATCCAATTCATAATTTATTTTTAAAGTAGCTTATCATCATTTGTCATTAGAATGAATTATTGGCATTTTTGTGCAAAATGTAATATTCATTAACAGATGAAAAGTATGACACATGTATTAAGGAACTCACATCTCTGAGCAATCTTTAGCTGAACAATCTTAAACAGAATAGCGCACAGGGACCTGAGTGATATACATCAGCCTGTATCCTAGACAGTTCCTTAAAAACAGGACAAAGCAAGTCGTCCCCTGCCATAACACTGAAGGGTATAGGTGGCTGCTGTCTTAACACTTTAAGCCTTAAAACAAATGTGTAGCCTGATTGCAGTGTTCTTAGTCACCTGCAGTGGAAACATGGTTATAGCACCACAAAATGGCTCAGCCAGTTTGTGTTAATCTTGAATATGAATCCAACATAATAGGTACAAATGTTCACCTAGTATCTTCCATCTAACATCCTGACATCATTTTTTAAGCACATGCTGATGACTCAGTCCAGATTTTAAAAATACCTGGACATGCTAATAAATAGCACTGATAAGCAATATTTAATATGCTCAACATTGACCAGAAGAAACTAGTTCACCTAAGTATCTACCCAATGAGTAGCCTCTACTCACTATGAAAAAAGGGGGAGGGAGGCTTTAAAACACGGAATAAGGATAAATACAAATTTTGTTTTATCAAATATTTTATATCTTGATCTATGAAAAACATGACATGGATAATAAAGGATCAACTAGTAAAACTCTAAAGGATCAACTAGTTCTTATACCTAACTAAAACCATTCAAGAAAAATGATTTATAATTTCCATGACAGAAAAATAGAAAATATCCATTTCTCAGGGAAGACAATTATTCCTAAATGACAATTCTGAGAGAAATGGAGACATTTGCTATAAATACTGAACAATGCTCTTACACAAGCAAATGTAGAAATACTTTTCCATCATTTTAAATCGAATAGGATGGATACAATCCTTAGTGACTTGGATTACTGAAATGACTATCAGTTACAGCTGTTCTCTGCTGCAGAGTCTCCAGGGCCTAACAAGCAGGTGGGAGGCTGTTTACCATGACACTGAACAGCCCAGAAGTTTACGCCTCTGTATGCACTGCTCTATAATCAACCACAGCTGTCCTCAGCTACTGTTAACCACCTCCCCTAATTTGTTTCTTCTAACCTGATACAGGTTGAACAGTGAGTGGAAAAAAAAAAAACTGCTCTTGTTAAATTTTACCTCAGGTGAACTAGGATGGGCTTAAAGAGTGATCACAGAGTGAACGGAGCAAAGGAAACCTTCCTTCAGTGTCACAGGCGATCCATGTGGGCATTAGGTAACTTTAAGACTCATTTCTAGGTGTGTACTATTTTCTAAAAGATTAAGAAAACTAAAAATCTGACAAAAAACCTGGAGCACGGCATCTACTGCTAAGACTCACTGCCCCTCCCTGTACACCACGGCTGACCTTCCTTCTCTTTCTTTTCTTGGTTCTCTTCAGCCGCCGTCTTGTCTGCTCTGAAGAAAATTCTTGCACTGCTTAGTGAGAAATACAGCAGTTCAAATTCCTGCATGAGTAAATTTGAAATAAAAGGTGAAATATTTACAGCAAAATATTTTAAAAATTAGTATTTTAATGTCTCTTATTTTTAAAAGCTCTATTGGAAATCATAAATACAGAAAGTGAATTAGTAGCCTGTCCATTTTTTGGCATATGTATATATGCATGTTCACTAGTGTAGGTGGGTGCACATGCACGTGGGTGTGCATGGGTGTGGACACCCAAAGTTAACATCGAGTTATCTTTCTAAATCATCTACCCTTGATGTACTGAGGCATGGTCTCTCACTTGAACCTGAAGCTCAATGATTCTGGCTAGTTTAGCAAGCCACTCACTGAGGGGATCCTGTGTCTGCCTTCCAAGTATAAGGATCACAGGCAGCTTACATGTCTACCCAGCTTTTACATGGGTTCTGGGGATCTGAACTCCAGTCCTCATTGCAGAACTAGCACTTGATCCACTGAGCCATCTCCTCTGGCCATCAATTTTTATGATCAAATGGCTCCCAAATACTGACTCTACAATGGATTCTGTTTACCACTACCCAGCTCACTTGCTAAAATGGGGTTTCCATGTGGCTTCTGGTTTTCAGATATCAACTATAATAATGCACACCAAAAAGTAAGTCTGAGGTATCTGAGTCTTGATTCCTCTACCTGTAGATAGACCTCCAGTCGCTTCTGAGTGAGGTTCATGGTCTGTAGCAGTTTTTCATCTTGACTAGTTGACTGTACATTCTGTTGCTTAGCAACTGCTCTTATCTCCTTTATGTATTTCTCTCTAACAGACTGGAACCAATGAAGTGAATCAAACTCCTGGTACTGGTCCAAAAGCTTTAGAATATAAGCCACACCTACAGTCATTAGCAAAACCAAAATTTAAATTACAATGAGTACAGAAACTGTATCTTACTCCTTCACTAAAACTCCAAGCACTAAGCTGGCCATTGTGAATGAACACTCTTTGAAGTCACATTTCAAAGCATAAATGAGTTAAGTTAAACAGAATTTCTTGTTAGGTCCCTTAAGCTTTAAAAAAAGTGAAAGTAGGCGCTGGAGAGATGGTTCAGTGGCACTGGCTGCTTTCGCAGAGGACCCAGGTTCAGTCCCAGCATGCACATGACAGCTAACGACCATCCATAACTCCAGTTCCAGGGGATCCGACGCCCTCTTCTGACCTCCATGGGTGCACTGACCTACATGTAAGCAATACACTCATACACATAAAATAAAAATAATAAGTATTTTTTTTTAGAGTCAAAGTATAAAAGACAATGACAAAAAACCAAGAATAAAATAACCATGAAAACCAACGGAAAAATCAAAGCTGTACATGCTAAAAAATTTCCAAAGCTAAAACAAACAGAAGGTGAGGAAGTTATAGTAGAAACTAGTGAAACTAAGTGTAAGATGCTAAAATTGTAAAACCTCAACAAAAACAAGCCTAAATAGGTCAAACCAGACAAGTATGAAACTACACCAAAAGGATATTAAATAACAGTGTGTATTTCTTACAGTATAATAGTAAAGTATTTTCAATCAGATGGTCTTGTTTAAAAACAAAACCTGGGCTGGGTGTGGAGGTGCACGTCTTAAATCCCAGCACTCAGGAGGCAAGGGTAGGCAGATCTCAGTGAGATCAAGGCTAGCCTGGTCTACATAGCAAGTTCCAGGTCGGCTGGGGCAACAGGGAAACTGTCTCAAAAAATCGAAAACAAAAACCAAAACCTAACAGTAGGCATTGTTCATGAAAAACAATTCTGTAAAGAGCACATAAATTTTATTTTCAAACAACTGTTTCTAAAACCCATTTTACGGTAAACACAAAAGTGATGGGAAAATAGTTCCATTAAGCTTACCCATGGCAAAACCATCATCAGTAAAGGCAGCTCCTATTTTATTTTTTTTATTCAATTTCTCTTTGCAACTAATGGAATGTTCTACAAAGTTGAGAGTCTAAAAAGAGATAAGATACAGAGAAACAATTGGGCTAATAAAATTTTCAGAATTTAGTTGCTATAAAAGACATTTCAAAAATTATAAGCAGAATCTACCTCAGATAAACTGTCTCTTGGCGAGGGCACAAATCCCTACATCTCTTGATGCTTCCAAGTCCTCTGAGTGCTCCCTCCATGACTACTTAACCCTAAAATAGTGCCCTGTAAATGTTGCTCACTGGAAGCTAGTATGCACATTTTAGAGATGAGAACACTGAGCCTTGGGGAATTTAGTATTTAATCCAAAGTCAGACACAAACACAGAAAGCAGAAAATCTAATCTCCTTTACCTCAAACACAAGCACTCTCAATCACATGCAAAGCAGTCCTTCCTTCCTTCCTTCGGCCTCCTGAGTTCATTCTATTTAGTAGTCCTCTGGCTGAAGGGTCAATTTGTCAAGAGTACTTCTCTTGAAAATTCAGCTTTTCCAAAATACCTTATCTAGCCAAATCATTTATTCAAAACATTTACTGAAGCTTACTATAAAGCAGGCAGTAAGTCTACAGGATAGAAATGATCACCATCTGGATACACACTGAGCAATGTTGGCAGAGGTAGAAATGATGTACACTGTCCAGTACAAGAAGCCGCTAGCTGCACATTGTCAACAGCTCTTGAAATGCAACTGAGACTAAACTTTCATTTTATAAAATGTTAATTAATTTAAAATAAGTAGCCGCATCTGGATACACATGGGCAAAACAGCACTACAGAGGTACAGAGAGCACTGACAAAAAGTAACACTACACAGTGGGAAAAAGGTTTCACTGTTAATACTTGTACAATCATTTGGCAAGCAGGTATTTTTGAAATCCTTTCAACTGCTTTTTAAGTCTTTTTGGGGGCAGCTCATTATATTTATCACTTTTTCGGATTTAGACTATAAAGTTAAGCATAAAAACAGCATCCTATGTCTTTGTAGTACTCTAGTCTATAACCGAACTTTGCAAGAATCTACTCTTCTAGTCACCACTGTCTGTCATGGCCTGAATATACTGCCCTCCAGACCGAAGAAATGGAAGGAGACCCAACCCATGTCAGCTCCAGCATTACCAAGTGAGACACCTGGAGTATGGACACTCATCAGCTGCATATCAGCATCGCTGCTACATCACAGTTAGAAAAACTGTAATAGTAAACAGACGTAGAAAATAGAAAATACACAAAGAAAAGGGCTGTCTATAGAGCACCAGCTATTTCTAATAGGTGATGATGCTCATATATGTAATTAACAATTCAGGCAAAAAAGATGAAAATTTTTAAATTTTGGAGTTTTTGTTGTTTGAGACAGCATCACACGTAGTCCAGGCTAACCTCAAACTCTATGCAGCCAACTCCCAATCCCCTTGCTTCCACCTCCCAGGTGAAGGGATTATAAGCATGGACTATATCTCATTTATGTAGTGCTGGGGATAGAACCCAGAGCCTTATTCATGCTAGCTAGGCAGGCACTCCGCCCAGCAAGCTGTAGCTCCAGCCTGTGAAAAATTCTTTACCCAAATAGGAGGTGAGAAAAAAAAAAGCCTAGTGATACTTAAATTTTAGAGCTATATACATTTAGAATTTTAAAGAAAACTTTGTTATAGAAACTGTTAGGGAAAAGTAGCATTTATTGTTAATATGTATCTCTCAAAACTCTTGAGTCCATTTCCCTCACTGGAACAACTGCTTTGATAATGTAATTTTTGATAACTTCAGCTATTTTTAGACAGCCAGCAACTATAGAATTAGAGAAGAAAATATTATACATTCTAGGAGAAAGAACTAAAAATTTATTCTAGGTATTAGCATTTACAACTGAATACACAGAGGCTCTCCCAAATAATAGGCTTTTAAAAGGTATTTTGGAACAGGGCTGGAGAGATGGCTCAGGGGTTAAGGACACTGTCTGTTCTTGCAGAAGACCCAGGTTCGAATTCCAGCACCCACATGGCAGCTAACAACTGTCTGTAACTCCAGTTCCAGGGGATCCGACACCTTCTTCTGTCCTCCGCAGGCACTGCACGACATGGGTGCACTTACATACAGGCAGGCAATACATGCATACACATAAAAATTTTTTTTAAAAAAAATGTTTTGGAACAAACTTCATATTGTAATAAAGTTAGTCTATGTTAAGCACTTAAAATGATTATATGGTCTAATTCTGTCCAAAGATCCTATAGTATACATGTAATGATAATTTAAAAGCACTAGGATTTCTCTCCCCATTATTAACGAACAAGAACCTATCAACTATATACTTCCCACATAGCTAGTAAGAAAAAGTTCAAAGTTCTAATCGATAACCAGTGTTTTTTTTTTTTTTTTTTTTTTTTTTTTTTTGTCTTTTTGAGACAGGGTCTCCCTGAAGCCTCAGCTGGCCTCAAACTCATAGAGATCCACCTGCCTCTGCCTCCCAAGCACTGGGATTAAAAGTGTGCACAACCACACCTAGCTGATAATCAATATTTTATTTACGGCCAGAAAGTCACTAATAGTCTGTGCACTTCATGATACAAAGTAACTGAATCTACTTCTTAATGCCTATTAAGAACTCGTTTCAGGCTCTGAAAATACTCACTAGAGGAGGGACAATGATATAGAAGTTTCGGAGATGTATATTCTTTGGTCTTCGAAATTCTGGAGCAAAAACATCTACAAGCATTTTGAAATATTCTGTGCCTTCTGCAGAATTTCGTGTATGATCACTGAGGACTGCATCCAAATGCCTACAAAACAAAACAAAATATTCCTTGGTTCCTATTTCAAAGGCACAGCTTTTAAAATTCCATCTCTTACTAGTTAGATAATGCCACTCCAAAGCAGGAAATTTCCTTGGACTTTAAAATGAACTCATTTTCTTATAGGCAGAAACAAATCAGCATTATTTCATTAACTTAATCCCTAAAGTAGAACAGAGAATCCTAGGGCTTAAATAATGCAGTTTGTATTTCTTATTTTCATTAAAAAAATTTTTTACACTCTCCTGGCCCGCTCTCCCGCCCTCAGGCCTCTCTTGGGGTAAGTCTACTGTGCAGCCCTCCGCGCCTTGACTCGGCCAGCCGCGCTCACCCTTCCATCTCCCCCACTGTTCTCTACTCCTAGCTTGGGCCCTGTGCCATTCCTAGTCTTGGGGCCCCAGACACCTGGGGAGCCAGTGCTGATTCCTGACCCTGTTCACCCCAACCGGCTTGGTGCCTTCCTTGGGCCCCAGGAGCACTGCCTCCGGACCCGGCCCCCCCTTCACCTCTCTCTGCTTCCCCCAACCTGTACCACTGGCTAACTCTCCTGGCCTGCTACCCTATCCTCAGGCCTCTTGGGGTGGGTCCATCGCGGAGCCGTCGGCGCATTGACTCCCCCGGCCTCATTCACCCTTCCATCTCTGCCACTGTTCTCTGCTCCTGGTTTGGGCCCTGCGCCATTCCTGGTCTTGGGTCCCCAGACACCTGGGGAACTGGTGCTGCTTCCTGATCCTTTTCGCCCAGGCCAGCTTGGTGCCTTCCTTGGGCCCCAGGAGCGCTGCTTCAGCGGGACCTGGCCCCGCCCTCACCTCTCCCTGCTGCCCGGACCTGCACCACTGACTAACTTTCCTGGCCCGCTCTCCCGCCCTCAGGCCTCTCTTGGGGTAAGTCTACTGTACAGCCCTCCACGCCTTGACTCCGCCAGCCGCGCTCACCCTTCCATCTCCCCCACTGTTCTCTACTCCTAGCTTGGGCCCTGTGCCATTCCTAGTCTTGGGGCCCCAGACACCTGGGGAGCCAGTGCTGATTCCTGACCCTGTTCACCCCGACTGGCTTGGTGCCTTCCTTGGACCCCAGGAGTACTGCCTCTGGACCTGGCCCCGCCCTCACCTCTCTCTGCTTCCCTGGTCCTACAACACCTGCCAGCCTCTTTCTGGGGCTAACAGCCCCTTTCTGGGGCTCTGAGGCTTACCTTGCCTCTCCCTGATCCTTTGCATCCAGTACAACCCAGTTACTCAATCCACTCCCTGGGAAATCTTGGGGCTTATTCCCACCCCATCAGCCTTTGCATCCCTGTGTGGCACAGCCACCGCCAGGGTCTCAGGTCAGTCCAACACCCAAGGTCCTGAGGCCAAAATCATTCTTAGAAGATTCCAGAGCCAAGGAGAAAGTCTGAAAACTTCTGACCCACATTAGAAGTGGGCCACGGCGGAACTCCTGAAGACAAAATCAGTCCAGCCACAACAATATAAAATCAAAAGAGGGAACCAGAAGCTTAGACGAACCAGCTCTTCATACCCAAAAAGTAAACCACAAAGACATACAAAGTTCAAAAAAAGAAGCAGAACTAAACCTGAAGGCCTGAGTATCACACAAGTCAGAAACTACAAAAGAAATTCACATGTCAAAATCACAGAGAAAAAATAA